AGGCTAGGCTTTGCTTGGTCATTTATTTCCCTTATTAGTTTAACGTTTGAGGGCTAATTGCTCATTTCTAACCTTCACCCCCAAACCATGTCCCAAATCTCTAGCACAATTAATAGCAGCCAGGAAATACACACAGATTCAGTCATCATGGTAACGCTGCTGTGCGGCAGGATCTGTGCTTGCAAACAGCCCACATGCCTGTGCACCTGCGCCCGGGGAGAGGGGAGCCAGGCCTCAGTCCCACCAAATGGTCCTTCCAGCGTCTTAGGAGGAGGTCCTGTTTTACCACCAGACTGTGACCCAAGGTCAGAACAGGGACAGAATCTGCCAGCTTGACATCATCAGAAAGGCTTTGCCAGAGCTCAGGGGCTCCTGGAGGTCAGGGTACTGCTAGGAAGAGAAGAACCAGCACCTCTCTGCCTTCAGTCTCAAACTGGCCATCCCTGAAAGCAACTGGAGAGATTCAGGTCAGACTAAAGATAGAACTTCCCGCTGCCAGGGTTATGAGGGTGTGATGGGGAGGCTGCCAGGCATCCTTGGACACCTAGACCCTTGCCTGGCTTAAGTGATGCACTTTCTGACAGTGATGAGAGGGGATCCAGTGTTCCCAGGGAGGGTCATCCCTCCTCTCCCAGACCAGCCAGCTACCTACACCCCACATCCCTGCCAGTGCTGGAGCAGGGAACCATTGCGAAGTGATTTCTCCCTCCAACGGCTCCATACATCATGTTTTTTAATTTAAAAGATGCCCTGTGGAAGCATAACAGACCATTAAATGTTTGGGTCTCTAATTAACTCCAGAGCAGCCCAGGGCTGCAGGTCCAGAGGTAGGACGGCGGCATAAGCCTGGTGCATCCCAGGAGGCAGCACTCAGGGTCCCAGCCCCATCCCTGAGCCCTCCCCACTCTGGTTGGGAGGAGGCAGAGGGGACCAGGCACCCCCTTCCCCGCCTGCCAGGGCCTTGGGGAGGGGCTGCCTCACCTAGCCCTTGGCTCCTGCTCTGGGGCCTGCCTCTGTGTATTCTGGGGCGAGGCAGGAATCTGCATTTTTACTGTTTTTTTTTTTTTGAGACAGGATCTCACTCTGTCACCCAGGCTGGAACGCAGTGGCACAATCATGGCTCACTGCAACCTCGACTTCCTGAGCCCGTGGGATCCTCCTGCCTCAGCCTCCCACTTAGCTGGGGTCACAGGTGCACACCACCACACCCGGCGAATTTTTTTATTTTTTGTAAAAATGGGGTCTCACCATGTTGCCCAGGCTGGTTTCAAACTCCTGGGCTTAAGCCGTCCTCCTGCCTCCGCCTCCCAAAGTGCTGGGATAACAGGTGTGAGCCACCATGCCCGCTCAGGGAATCTGCATTTTTAAGTAGCAGTGAAGTGGGTGCTGTTGCCGCCTTCCTGGGCCTTGCTGTGAGGAAGTCTCAACTTCCTGGCTAGACTTTCCCACGCTGAGCCTCTGTTTCCCGCTCTGTCCAACTGAGGTAACACCTTTGCCTCCCTGAACCCTGGGGAGGGGCTCTGCATGTGGGAGGGACCGCGCACCAACGGACCATGGAGGAAACAGGAGCTTTTCTCTGTTGCACACTCACAGGGCGTTCCTGCTCTTGGGGGCAGGGCAGGGGGAGCCCTGAGGCTTCCATGAGTTGTGTGGATGGCCTAAGGTCAGATGGTAAGGTTGTCAGGCACTCAGTACCGTTTCCATAGCCCCTTGACCTTCCCCAGCACTCACTGGGACCTTACACAGGGGCAACGTGGTGCAGGCAGTGGTCCCCTCTGTTCTCCTCCCCAGCCCGGCCTCCTGGAGGGCAAGGCTGAGGTCAGGGGCCTGCCAGATCCAACCCCGTGGCCGTGTCCCCAGGAGCCAGCCCCGCTGAGTCAGCCCTCCCAGCCCCAGCCTTGCGTGCATCCCCCGCCAGCCTCCCCTGGACAATAGGATGGGAGCAGGGAGCGGAAGAGAGGGCCAGGCCTGGGGGGTCCTCTGGAGCTCTGAGGCTCCCCCTGCCCTGCCCCCAGAGCTGGCGAGAGCCCTCCATGGGCCCCCCTGTGTGGGCACCAGGGCTGGCAACTGTGCTGAAGGAAAACCCACATGTGTCCAGCATGCGGCTCTGTCTCCCACACTGCCTTGCACTGACCTTCCCTCCCCTACCGAGGAGAAAATGAGCATCTACTGGGCACCCCCTTGTAGCCAGCAACATGCCAGGAGCCTTAAGTAGCTGGTGGTGCATCCCCACCACAACCCTGGGAGGCAGATGCCATGATGATTTCTGTTTGACAGATGAGGGGACTGAGGTTAAGAGAGGTTAAGTGACATGCCCAAGGTCACACAGCAGGCGCATGGCAGAGCCAACACCGTCTCCTGGCCTGCGATGGTTCTGCGTCCCCTCACACAGCAGGTGCACAGGTGGGCCGCCTACCTTCCCCTAGCCGGGCCAGGTCACTGTGGCAAGCCTTGCGGCTCGAGGCCCAACTGCCCTGATATGCCCATCACAGCCTCATGGGCTCTGCGGCAGAGCCCAGGGAGACAGGGCGAGAGCCAAACTGCAGAGGCAGGCAGACGTTAGCAGTAAACATGATCTATCGGCAAAACATTGGAACGATGAAAAGTTATCGATCTATAGCTTTCCACCCATCTCCCTGCCCCCCTCCCCCACACGTCTGGCCCTCTGCCCACCTTTCCCCCTGTGGCTGGAAACTTCGCTCCATCAGCAGAATCCTCAGTCCAGCCCTGGCCCCAGCCCCAGACCAGCCCTGGCCTCTCATCTGGTTTAAATGATCGAGACGAGGAACAATATTTTTAGACAGATGCACGCCCGTCCCAGCACGGCTGCTGTGATTATGCAAATTCAGTCGTAAGAAGTTTAAAAGCCTGGAACCACCATATTTCTTGATTTCATTAGTGATCACACAGGCTGCGGAAGGAACTTGGTGCCCGCCTTACACGCACTGTCCCCATCGTCCCCTGGGGGGCAGGGGGGTGCTCTCTGCAGGGCAGCGTGTGTGAGTGTGATCACGAGACATCACGAGGGCTCCAGCCAGGGAGACACAGACACAATCCCAAGAGTTCTTGGAGGCGCCTGGTTCAACAATTTCATGTTAGGATGGGGGAAACTGAGGCCTGGAGACGGGAATTGGAGACCCCAGACTCTGGCTCCGGCCCAGATGCCTGGCCTCTCCTGCTGTGGCCAGTTCTCCCAGCAACTCCAGTACTCAGAGGGGAGAGGGTCTTCTTCCAGGAGAGGATTCTCAGGGAGCAATGCCGTGCTCTCTCCTCCCACCCCTTCTGAGCAGAGGCCCAGGGAGGGGAGATGATCTGGTCAAACAACAGGCTCCTCTCCCAGCACTCAAGCCCTTCCACCTGCCCCCACTACCCCTGCAGCCCTACCTCCTGCCCAGCATTGCCCACCACTGCCTGCGCCCTGGGCACCCCACACTCCCTGGAGGGGCCTCCCACCTTCATGGCTCCAACACACCTCCTCTGCCTGGGATGCCTGTTACCCTCCTTCCCTAACAAACTCCTACTCATCTGCTGAGGCCCTTCAAGCCGCGGCTCCTGCCAAAGCCCGGCCTCGTTGCCCGCTGTCTCGCACACCTCCCTAGCTCCAGCCAGGCCTCCCGTTTCCCTGCAGGCCCCGCTGTGGTCTGTAAGCCCTTCAGGGGCCCCATGGTTCCTAAATGTCCAGTGCCTGGCAACCCATCTTCAGTGGACAGAACAAGGCCAGGAGATGAACACGGACCCTCCTGCTCTGGGTCTCAGGGGCACGGCAGGGGGTTGACCCGCTGGCCCCTGGCCCTGAATCCCAGCAGGTTCCAGCTAGAGCTGGGGTCTTTTCTGCTGTCCGAGGGGGCTGGGTCCCACTCTGAGATGCTAAACCACTCACCCTCCACCCATCCAGGAGAGAGAACCTCTTCAGGAAGGCCAAATGTGCTTCAGATTCCATCCTTTTGAGTGTTCCCTCCACCTTCAACGTTTCCTGAAATGGCCAGCTCATTCGGTCAGGGGCATTCCCGCTCACCCCACCTCCCGGCAGCCCTGCCCTGCGCGCCTGCTCCTGTTTGAACACCCCTGCTGATGGGGGGCTCACTACCTGTCACAGCCTGTTGGACAGAGCTCTTTAGCAACTGGGTCCCAGGAGTGCTCCTGTTTCCGGAGGCCACTGACTCTGGTTCCTGCCCCTCTCCACCCTCCAGACAGGCCCAGAGCTGAGCACATTCCAGGGTCACCGGGCCTAACATCTGACCCCATTCTCTGTTCTCCCGGCTTCTGTGTCTGTCCCCTAGTAAGCACTCTCTGTGAATAGGCTATGCTGGCTGCCCCTTCCAGCTCCCCCCAACCCAGGCGCTGCCTGTGGGAGGCAGGGCTGTCCCGAGATGGAAGCCTGGTAGGCTCAGGCCTGGGACAGGCAGATGCCCCCAGGACAGCCGAGGTCTCCGTGCGACGAGCAGACCTTGCCAGCGGCTGTGAGTGAATGCAGTCGTTCTGGGAGCCCATTTCCCCGAATAGCCCAGGCGACCTTGGCCAGTCCCTTCACTTGAGGGGCTTCCCATCCAGACCACAAAGGGTGCGTGGTCCCGTGTCCCATGGCATGGCCTGTGGTGCTCTCGTGGCTGCCCATGGCCGGGCACGTGGAGGCCTCTCTCCATCTGGGTGAGGGGCATCAGACACTGAAGCTGGTGGGGACATGCATGACCCAGCCGGGTCTGGCCCAAAACTGAGAGGCAGGACCCCCTGTGGGTTAGGGTTAGGATGCCCTAACTCCCTGTGGGCACTTCATATCTTTCCTGAGGGGGTAAAAACTCTTATGGGCTTGATCAAATGTGAAAAGGATGGCCAGGCATGATGACACACACCTGTAATCCCAGTGCTTTGGGAAGCTGAGGCAGGAGGATGGCTTGAGTCCAGGAGGTCAAGGCTGCAGTGAGCTGTGATTGCACCACTGCACTCCAGCCTGGGCAACAGAGTGAGACCCATCTCTTTAAAAAAATACAAAAGGAAGCTAATGTTTGTGAGAAACCACAGGCCCATTGGGAAGAGTGGTCCTCACTCCCATTCGACGGAAGAGGAAGCAGAGCTGGCGCATCCCAGCCCGTGCGCAGCGTGGCCCGAGTCTGTCCAGTACTGGCTGCCAGGCACCACGCCAGCCCTGGGATGCCACAGTGACCAGGACACACAGCTCCTGCTCTTGCAGTGGCAGGAGCAGCTCCAACATGAATTAAAAGTAAATAACCAAGCACAACATCAGGGAGAGAGAAGTGCCAGGATTTAAGCTAGGTGGGGGCTGAGAGTGAATTCGGGGTGCAGAGCAGGGAGAGTTCTTGAGGTGATGCTGCTGCATCTTGGACTGAACAACAGGAGGGAGCCGGAGCTTCCCAGGTGGAGGGGTGGCTGGTGCAGGGTCTTCAGCCAGGAAGGGGGTGTGCATCGGGGACAGGGAGCGAGAAGGCGCAGAGGCAGATCCGGTGGGCCCTGGAGATCGTGTTTGGAGGCTGGATTCTCCGCCACGCGCGGAGGACTGGATGCCCTCAGGGCTGCGCAAAGGGTGGGGCCGCAGGACTGCCTTGGTGGTTAGCGAGGCTCCCTCTGGCTGTGGAGGGAGAATGGATTTTGGGTGCCAGGAGATGAGGTGGAGCCAAGGGCGTCATCCCTGCCGGAAGTGGATTTGGGCAGTTTGGACCAGGGCGGTCGTGGTGGGAATGGAGGGATTCCGGGTGCTTCTGCAGGTGGATTAGATGCTACTGGAGTTGGACCAGGTGTAGGGGGAGGAAAGAGAGGAGTCCAGGATGCGGCATCAACTTTAGGTGGAGGAATGCAGTGGATGGTGAGCAGGGAGATGCCAGGAGACAAGATCTTGGAGCAGCCACTTAGATGCGACGGGAGAGAATCCTCAAGTCGGGGGCAGCCGAGGGCCTCGAGATAGATCGGGGGTCAGCTGCACGGAGACAAAACCACAGGGCGAGACCCCCTGGGAGTGCTGGGGAGAGGAGGCTGTGAGGACCGAGCCTGGGCTGGAACATGTGGAGTCGGGGTGAAAGTGAAGGAACCTGGATGGAGAGGGTGGCAGCTGGGACACCGGAGCGGAGAGGGCTGCAGGAGGGAGCCAGCAGCTGCCTGGGCCAAGGGCTGCTGAGAGGCTGAGCAAGACAAAAATGGGCACTGGAAGGGCAGAGGTCGCCAGTGACCTTGGTGAGAACAGCTCAGAGGGCCCGAGGGGGGGACGCTGGACGGGGTGGAGCTGAGGATGGAAGAGGAGGTGAGGGAGGGGGATGGAAACCACTGCCGATCCTTCTGAGAAAACCTGCCACGTTGAGGCAGAGGCTGGAGGGCACGCAGGTCAAGTTGGTTTGTTTTATGGAAGGTTCTAGAACTAGAACCTTCCAATACATCGATACAATGGAACTGTATCGAGTTCCATTACAGCAGCTACTGGCCACATTTCTGGTGCTCCAGAGCCACAGGGGACCTGTGGCTGCCCTGCTGGACGGTGCAAGGACAGAACCTCCATGCATCCAAGAAAGCTGCAGGGGAAGGATGGCATTGCAGAGGGCTGGAGGTATCAGACCCCAGGAGGGCCCATTCCAGAGGGGCCACAGCCTCTGCATCTCCCTGAGGCAGGAGGCCAGGCCCCGGGAGCAGGTGCAGATGGGCTGAGAGCAAGGGGAGCTCCTTTCAGGCAGCGGGGAGCAGCCCTCCCGAGGGCTGCCGTGGGCCTGCTGGCCTCCCTGAGGCCTTGTGGTCCACACCCATGCTAGCCTCTGGGTCTGAGGTTGCAAGTGTGCTGAGGAGGGGAGCAGGGCTGGGCCCGGGTCTGTGCAGGAGAGCAGCGCCCATGTGGGGTCTCCACACCTGCCCTCCATGCCGGCCAGCACTCCTTTCTAGAAACGTTTAATGAGTGGATCACAGGATGCGGGGTACAGGGGCAGGTGTGCGTGTGGATCAGCGAGGGCATCAAGAATGACTGAGTGAGCGAGCCCAGCTGGAAAGGGCCTTGGGAGGCCTGTGGTCCGTCCAGAACCTTCCTGGGTGATTCAGCCTTTCCCTGTTTCCTGTGCCAGGTCTACAGCCTCTGCCCTTGGGGGCTCCCAGACCCAGGGCGCCTCCTGAACCCTTCCTAGCACAGCACCCATCCAGCCTGTCCCCCTGGCCCCCAACAGGAGGCTGCACAGGGCTGACTCACAGTGTGACCTTGGAGAAGTCCTTCTCTCTCTGTGCCTCAGTTTCCCCACTGTGAAGTGAGCTGCAGAATGAAAACTTCGGGCCCTTTGGCTGGGCGTGGTGGCTCACACCTGTAATCCCAGCACTTTGGGAGGCGGAGGCAGGTGGATCACTTGAGGTCAGGAGTTCGAAACCAGCCTGACCAATATGGTGAAACCCTGTCTCTACTACAAGTACAAAAATTAGCTGGGCGTGGTGGTATGTGCCTGTAATCCCAGCTATTTGAGAGGCTGAGGCAGGAGAATTGCTTGAACCCGGGAGGCAGAGGTTGCAGTGAGCTGAGATTGCGCCATTGCATTCCAGCCTGGGCGACAGAGCAAGACTCCGTCTCAAAAAAAAAAAAAAGAAAAAGAAAAGAAAACTTTGGGGCCCCTCCAAAGCTTCGGGCCATAGAGGGGGCAAAATCCCGTGCCTCCTACGGGGCTGTGGGCCCACCCTTCCTCACTGGCAGGGCGCTGGCCACACGGGGAGTCACACCCATATGCCCCGAAGATCCCCCTGCCCAGGAGACTTGGCAATGAGGCCAGGCTAGGGGTCGGGGGAGGACTCCCCAAGCCCCTGTAGGTCAGGCTCCTGCTCACCTGGACTCTGGGGCAGGGGCCGAATAGGAAGGTGAGGGCTGGACACTGGGCTGGGGACGGCCTCCCTCCCTCATCACATGGGCCGCCCAGCCCAATGGAGGAGGGCTCAGAGCCGGGCGGGGAGGTGAGGCTGTGCTCCCAGCGCCACTCCCAAGGAGTCTGATGCACAGATTCTTATACTCACAATGCGGGGAGTAGGGTATGGTGGTAAGAAAAGGGCTGGCAGGGGAGGAACCAGGTGAGCCAGGAAGCAGGAGACAGTGTGGTGCCCAGCTGGGCTCTGGAGATGTCAGCCACTGCTGCACACTTAGAGCATGTTTCCTGCATGCATGCAACATGCCAGACATACAGACCCCCATGCATGTGTGAACATGAGGAAATCTGGGGGACTCTGAGCTGCACCCATGCCACCCACACCTGCCTCCCCTTAGCCCCAGACACACCAGGGCCCCAGGCCTCACTGCCCAGACAGGGCGCCCTCAGTGACACCTGCTCTGCCTAGTGCCCCAGTGAGCATGGCCTGTGCACTTATGTACACAAGCCCTGTGTACACACCTGTGCACACACATCTGTACACGCACATACGCACGCAACCTGGCACACACGTACGAGGGCTCACGTGTACCAAACACGTGTGTGGGTGGACGTAGGTATACATGTGTCCACAAACACACATGCACACACACACGTACACACACACACACACGTGACCCCCATAAGCACGCAGCCCTCCAGCCCTCAGCTGCCAGGCCCAGGAGAGCCTGGACAGCCCCAGGCCCCAAGCCTCCTCCCTGTGCCTGTGATAAGGGCTTTTAGGCCCTGTAATCCTCCTTACCTTGACTTTGGGTTATTTTGAGCAAGAGATTAAAGGTGATTACGATTGTGGGCTGAGGCGCCACGCTTCCTACACGCTTCCTGCGCGGCCGCTGGCCAGACCCGCCCTTCCGGAGGCTGGGCACAGCCGGACACCATCCGCCCCACGCCCTTGGCCCGCCCCCGGCCAGCACGCGCCTCTGCCTGAGACCTGGGCCCCCAAGAGGCCTGGGAAAGCTAAATCCCAGCACTGGCACAGGTTGTCTGGGCACGGTGGAGGGATGGTGGGGAGGGACGGAGGGGCTGGCGTGGGTGCGGGATGGCAGGTGCACATGGCATGACGGTGACTGAGACAGCGCTGACTCTCCCGTGATGGTGGATTTCACATCCAACCAGACCACGTGGGGACCCCATTTTCCCGACCCAAGCAGCCCCCGGAGCCATTTTTGAGTGGGCCTAGTCAGGTCCCACCCGGCTGAGCTGGGTGTCCCCTGGCCACTCCAGGCCAAGCCCTGGGTTAGCTCCCCGAGGCCTGCTAGGACCTCGCTACAGCTCCCGTGCCGTCTGACTTCTCCTCTTTAAATCAGAAATAGACTCTTCTCCAGGAGCTGGAACAAAATTGTTCTTTATGAAGTTTCCAAAGGGAGGAAAAAACCCATTTTACATCATTATATTTTTTTTCTCTAATTTAAACCGCTTCAGTGCAGACTAGTTGCAAACGTCAATATCAGTGAAATACACTCAGCTGGATGCATGCCAGGCCACGGCTCGGTGGCAGAGGCCGGCTGTAAATCCACATACTAACAAGCAAACACACACCCATTTCTCTATCCTGCAGGGGAGACACAGGCGGCCAGGAGGTGAGGCTGCACACCAGGGGCCCCCTTGTCTCGAAGGCAGTGGTGGGGGGTCCGTGGGGGAGCAGGAGCCCAGCGGCGTGCCTCGCTCCCCGGACGTACCTCCAGCCCCATCTGCAGGGTGCTTCCTGCCTGGGGCTTCCTCCCCTATGGCTCGGTCCCTACATCCTCTGTGTCCAGGCTCAGCAGACACTAGGGAGATAGAGGAGGCACCGTCCTGCCTGGAGACCCTCGGGGTCCAGTGGAGGCTGAGGAATAGAGCAGAGGACCCCGTATGGTGGTGGGGAGGATGGCGGGAGAGGCATCTGGCTCCCCCAGGGGCCTCAGAGCTGTCCGTCTCCCAGCCTGGGGAGGATGAGCAGAACCTGGAAATTCTCGGCGGAGCAAGCGGTTCCCTTCCTTCCAGAAGGGAGGTGGCCACACTCCACCAAGGTGAGGTGCAGACAGTGCCAAGTCCCAGTGCCGGGTAGACACCCTCAGAGACCATCCAGCTGGCTCATTTGGGGAAACTGAGGCCCAGAGGGAGCACAGCATGCCGGGGACACAGGGCAGGCGAGCTCAGACCGAGACCTGGTAGACACAAGTCCCGGGACAGGCCAGAATACCTCCCGGTGCCTCCCTCCCAGAGGGCTGGAGCGGAGCCCGCGCCCTGGAAGGATTCTGTGCGGTGGGCTGGGGGCCCAGCGGCGGGTGCACGGGGCAGCTCCTACAGGCGGCTCCAGGGCCGTTGCGGCCGGGCCTCCTGGGAGCAGAAGCGGCAGGCGACAGGCACCGTGCCCAGCGGGGGCCTTCATACGCGCATCCCTGGCCGCAGCCAGCCGGCAGAAGCCCCGTCACTCCTCAGCCAAGCGACTTTAGGTCCCAGTCCCCTGCCTCAGTTTCCTCATCCGACCAGGGTTGTGCTGAGAGTGAAATGGGCTTCAGGGGGTCTCAATTCTGGGCTGTCAGTACCTTGGAGCCCGGCCAAGCAGGTAGTGCCCCATCCATTTTGCAGATGAGGAAACTGAGGCCCGAGAGCCGAGGAGACCCCTCCACAGGAGGGTGAAGCATTTCCTCCCTTATCCTGACCCGTCTCAGGACCCCCCAGGGGCTTCTGAGGAAGGGGCTTCTGTTTTCTTCTGTGTTTTACAGAAGAGGCCAGGGGGCTCAGCGGAGCAGGGACTCAGCCCACGTTCAGATGCGCTGCTGTGAGATGCTGGCCATCCCCTGACCGCTGTCTTCTCTTCTGTCTTGCAGCAGGAACGTCGGAGCAGGAGGAGCCAGTGGAACCGTCAGGACACCCAGGCCCATGGGGCAGGAGGCCTCAGTCACCGCAGGACTGGGGCGGAAGACGAGAGACGGCCGGCCGTGAGGGAGGCACCCTCCCTCCCCGCGCTTACGTCACGCGGCCATGCAGTTTGGGACAGGACACCCCTGAGAGTGCAGGCACCTCCCCCTCCCGCCCCTCCATCCCTCTGGGGGCTGCCGCCTGGCCCCCCCACCTGGTCCCCCTGGGCAGGCTGAGTTGGGGCTCCCTCCAGGGCGGTCCCGATGGCCGGGTGTGGGTGGGGCGCACTGTGGGTGTGTGTGGCGGCTGCCACCCTGCTGCACGCAGGCGGCCTGGCCCGCGGGGACTGCTGGCTGATCGAGGGTGACAAGGGCTTCGTGTGGCTGGCCATCTGCAGCCAGAATCAGCCGCCCTACGAGGCCATCCCACAGCAGATCAACAACACCATCGTGGACCTGCGGCTCAACGAGAACCGTATCCGCAGCGTGCAGTATGCCTCGCTCAGCCGCTTCGGCAACCTCACGTACCTCAACCTCACCAAGAACGAGATCGGCTACATCGAGGATGGCGCCTTCTCGGGCCAGTTCAACCTGCAGGTGCTGCAGCTGGGCTACAACCGGCTGCGCAACCTCACAGAGGGCATGCTGCGCGGCCTGGGCAAGCTGGAGTACCTGTACCTGCAGGCCAACCTCATCGAGGTGGTCATGGCCAGCAGCTTCTGGGAGTGCCCCAACATTGTCAACATCGACCTGTCCATGAACCGCATCCAGCAGCTCAACAGCGGCACCTTCGCCGGCCTGGCCAAGCTGTCGGTGTGCGAGCTCTACAGCAATCCCTTCTACTGCTCCTGTGAACTGCTGGGCTTCCTGCGCTGGCTGGCCGCCTTCACCAATGCCACGCAGACCTACGACCGCATGCAGTGCGAGTCGCCGCCCGTCTACTCCGGATACTACCTCCTGGGCCAGGGCCGCCGCGGCCACCGCAGCATCCTCAGCAAACTGCAGTCAGTTTGCACCGAGGACTCGTACGCGGCTGAGGTGGTCGGGCCCCCACGCCCGGCACCCGGGCGCTCACAGCCGGGCCGCTCCCCGCCGCCCCCACCTCCTCCAGAGCCCAGTGACATACCCTGTGCCGATGATGAGTGCTTCTCCGGGGATGGCACCACGCCACTGGTGGCCCTGCCCACACTGGCCACGCAGGCCGAGGCTCGCCCCCTCATCAAGGTCAAGCAGCTCACCCAGAACTCGGCCACCATCACTGTCCAGCTGCCCAGCCCATTCCACCGGATGTACACCCTGGAGCATTTCAACAACAGCAAGGCCTCCACCGTGTCCAGGCTGACCAAGGCCCAGGAGGAGATCCGCCTGACCAACCTGTTCACGCTCACCAACTACACCTACTGTGTGGTGTCCACCAGCGCCGGGCTGCGCCACAACCACACCTGCCTCACCATCTGCTTGCCCCGGCTCCCCAGCCCACCCGGCCCGGTGCCCAGCCCCTCCACGGCCACCCACTACATCATGACCATCCTGGGCTGCCTCTTCGGCATGGTGCTGGTGTTGGGTGCCGTCTACTACTGCCTGCGCAGGCGGCGGCGCCAGGAGGAGAAGCACAAGAAGGCCGCCTCTGCTGCCGCAGCTGGCAGCCTCAAGAAGACCATCATCGAGCTCAAGTATGGGCCAGAGCTAGAGGCGCCCGGCCTGGCCCCGCTGTCCCAGGGCCCGCTGCTGGGCCCCGAGGCCGTGACGCGCATCCCTTACCTGCCTGTGGCCGGCGAGGTGGAGCAGTACAAGCTGGTGGAGAGCGCGGACACCCCCAAGGCCAGCAAGGGCAGCTACATGGAGGTTCGAACCGGGGACCCTCCGGAACGCAGGGACTGTGAGCTGGGCCGGCCGGGGCCTGACAGCCAGAGCTCGGTGGCCGAGATCTCCACTATCGCCAAGGAGGTGGACAAGGTCAACCAGATCATCAACAACTGCATCGACGCGCTCAAGTCCGAGTCCACCTCCTTCCAGGGCGTCAAGTCGGGGCCCGTGTCCGCCGCCGAGCCGCCGCTGGTGCTGCTGTCCGAGCCGCTGGCCGCCAAGCATGGCTTCCTGGCGCCCGGGTACAAGGACGCCTTCGGCCACAGCCTGCAGCGGCACCACAGCGTGGAGGCGGCCGGGCCCCCTCGTGCCAGCGCCTCGTCCGGCAGCTCCGCGCGCAGCCCCCGCGCCTTCCGAGCCGAGGCTGTTGGGGTGCACAAGGCCGCGGCCGCCGAGGCCAAGTACATCGAGAAGGGCTCCCCCGCGGCCGACGCCATCCTCACTGTGACGCCCGCGGCCGCCGTGCTGCGGGCCGAGGCCGAGAAGGGTCGCCAGTACGGCGAGCACCGGCACTCGTACCCCGGCTCCCACCCGGCCGAGCCACCTGTGCCCCCCGGGCCACCGCCGCCGCCTGCGCACGAGGGTCTGGGGCGCAAGGCGTCCATCCTGGAGCCGCTCACCCGGCCGCGGCCCCGCGACCTCGCCTACTCGCAGCTGTCCCCGCAGTACCACAGCCTGAGCTACTCCTCCAGCCCCGAGTACACCTGCCGGGCCTCCCAGAGCATCTGGGAGCGCTTCAGACTGAGCCGCCGGCGGCACAAGGAGGAAGAGGAGTTCATGGCCGCGGGCCACGCGCTGCGCAAGAAGGTTCAGTTCGCCAAAGACGAGGATCTGCACGACATCCTGGACTACTGGAAGGGCGTGTCGGCCCAGCACAAGTCCTGAGCCCCCCCCCAAGACCCGCGATGCCCACTGGACCAAAAAGGATGCAGGATCCACCCAGAGACTCACACGCACAACACCACAGCATCCAACACACGCACACCACCACAGCAACTGTGACAGCCGGGGGGCCCTGCAGAGGCGAGGGGGGCGCGGGCGGGGACAGACAAGGGGGACACGTCCCGAGCTCCTGTGGCTGGTCCTGGGATGCGCTCGCCGCCCCGGGTGGTACGTGTCCACACACACACACACAC